AAAAATGGGAAGATGTCGATTTCATCCTCGCCCCTTGCAATGTGGGTGGGCATTAGGTGGTAGCGAAGATCGACTTGGTCAGGTGGTCGATCAAGGTTGTGGACTCCACAAGAACTTCGGCTGCTAAGGATAACGGAGTGCATGCTACTCAGATGACACCCCTGACGACAATGCTCCCAATCATCTGCCACAAAGCAGGTTATTTCAAGAAAATTCATCGATAGACATAAGATTTGACACCGATGCCACTGAAAATTCATTTGCCTAAAGCTAAAGTGCATCATCAGAATGATAATGTCAACTGCAGTATGTTCACCATTGGGTACATTGACGACATCTTGCAATCAGAACTGATCAGAGTTAAGTAGAATATGATTGCTAATATGCAGCGTCAATACACTGTGAAAATTTTTACCAACAGTTTAGACAGCGAACCCTAAACCCCTCCACCAACATATCTCAAGTAGTATTTAGTTTTTTTTTATACAATTAATTTTATTAATTTTTTAATAATATTCTTACATTTTAGACATAGGTTTTTTTTCTCTATTCGGGCATAGTAAGTGCAATAATCATTTGCTGATGTAAATTAAATTAAAAGCCCAAGGAAATTGTGACAAATAACTATTCTCATAAAGGATATTTCACAAATAATACTGCAACCACGTGACGTGTCACCACACTGGGGCATGGCGTGTCACCCCACTAGGGCATGTCGTGTCACTGCATTCGGGCATGGCGTGTCACCACACAGGGGCATGGCATGTCACCCCACTGAGGCATGGCCTGTCACCCCACTAAGGTATGGCTTGTCACCCCACTGGGGCATGTCATGTCACCCCACTAGGGCATGGCTTGTCACCCCACTGGGGCATGGCGTGTCACCGCATTGGGGCATGGCCTGTCACCTCACTAGGGCATGTCACCCTACTAGGGCATGGCGTGTCATCGCACTGGGGTATGGCATGTCACCCCACTAGGCCATGTCGTGTCACCCCACTGGGGCATGGCTTGTCACTCTACTGGGGCATGGTTTGTCACCCCCATTGGGGCATGGCTTGTCACCCCACTAGGGCATGGTTTGTCACCCCCATTGGGGCATGGCTTATCACCCCACTGGGGCATGGCGTGTCACTGCATTCGGGCATGACGTGTCACCGCACTAGGGCATGGCCTATCACCCCACTAGGGCATGGCTTGTCACCCCACTAGGTCATGGTGTGTCACCACATTTGGGCATTGCGTATCAACCTTGACTAACATAACAACTCAGCGTGTGACCCCATAACTCTCATTTCAGTCAGCGTAACCCAATAAATTTGGTACCACTCACCGTGTCACACCATGTATCTGGTAGCACTTAGCGTGTGACCCCATAAACCAAAATCTTTTGACCAATATAGGGACTTTCAATGTCTCTGGACCATTTATAAATGCATACACAATCGTTTGATATTATTTTATTTTAACGTAATACAAGTTATTAATATAAAATTGACTTCATACATGAAATTATTACAAATTTAATTTTTACAGAAGGATAAATCCAACTTAATTTTTGCCTAAATGGAAAAATTAATCAAGTAACAAACACAATTCTAAATGAATGTAAGAAACTGCAAGATGAAATTCTGAGAAAGGTATTGCACATGGCTCACAGATTTAATTACAACGACAAGATGTCTTCTTCCAGAAGACACCCAACATTTTCAGACATTGTCCTTCGCATTGGACAGTTGTTGCGTGTGTGACCAGTTTGCTTGCAAGTTGAACATGCTTTTGGTCATCGCACTCGTAGAGGTGCCGATTGAGTTGGATCTGGTGCCGGTGTTGTGGATGTAACTGCAAATGGGGATGGGCAATTCTATCTATTATGCATGTTCCTATTACATTGCGAACATCTCCGTGCTCGACTGCCTTCACCAACCGATGGAATCCTTCTCCTCTTAGGTCTTCCCGCTTGGCATCGCCAAGCTGGTGGCAACACCACAATTTGTTTCACATGAAGGGGGAT